TCTATGAGTTTTAGTTTAAGCAGAGGTGTGTGTGGGGGGTGTCTTTCATGAATCCGGCTGGAGACTGCACCCTGGTTCCCCAAGAACACAGGTGTCTGGTATCGGGGTTGGCACTGGAGGTTACTAGAAATGACAACAAGACTCCATTCTGGGGGTCAGGAGGTGAATCCATCCCTCAGTGGTGGGCAGATGCTGGGTGGAAATGCTGCTGGTTCCAGGTGCCCTTAATTCCCCCTGATTCCTCGGGGCGTTTGAGTCTCTGACAGGTTCTCATTCCCTTGCAGCAGGAGGACGTCACGGCCAAAGTGATGTACCAGCTCCGCATCATCCGATCCGGCACTTGCGCCAGGTGCCTGAGGCACTGCGGGGGCGGTGCCTCTGAGGCCACCAGCAACTCCCGCTCCCTGCTGCAGGTACTGCTCTGGCTCACTGTAAATGGGGAGGTAGTGGAAGGGGAAATGGAGCCCCCTGGCACTCACTAAAAGGGAAAGTGGTGGATTCTCCATCTCTTGATGTCATTGCATGAAGACTAGATGCCTTTCTGGAATGTGTGTGCCCAAAAAGTAACTATTGTACTATACAGGAAGCCTATGATATGCAGGGGGTTAGATTAGATGCTCTAAAGGTCTCTTCTGGCCATAAAGTCTACTAATTTTGGAAATACTGAGTGTAGCATTGGGAGCAGCCTCTGATGTTTTACTGTCTAGCCGGCTTGCTTCCTAGAATGAACACGCATTGAGTGGGGTGATCAACAGAGAGGATGTGTCCAGGATCCTGGATAATGTTTTCTGCAGGAGGTTTGAACGGGGAGAGATCACTCACTGTCAGGACCCAGAGGTCTTCAACCCGGGGCTGTAAGGTTCATGGAAGTAGCCACACTCCAACCCTCCACCTGGAAGCCTGCTGAAAATTGCTTACCTAGGACCCATGAAGTTCAGCCCCAGTTTGAGGCTCCACTCCTGAGGTCCTATTGGAGGAGTCCCAGAGAAGCTAATTGGCCCTCTGGCCCTGCTTAAGGCAGCAGCAGGAACAGGAAGCTGACTGAACACCAGGGCTGCTCCCTGTTCTGGACCATGTGCTGCCTCTTTCTGCTGCCGCTCCCCTGGCTTGATTTCGTGGCATCTGATTTGTGGTTGTGATTGCAAGTTTCTCTTGTGCTTCTGATCTTCCAGAATCCTGACCCAGCTGAGTCTCAACTCCTGTCATGTGACCGTGGACTCTGGCTCTGACCAGTAGGTCTGGCTGACCTTGACCGAGCCGTGACATTGTACAATTTCTCCAATGCTTTTTTTTGCTGTCCAGCAAGATACACCAGTACCTTGGCTCCCAAAGTCCTGGTTGCCTGCTATTCAAGGGCTGAGGGGTAGTGCTTGTATTGCCCCCACCCTCACCCCAGCTGCTTTTCCTATGGGAATCTCCCTAGAGCAGAGGAAAAATCTCTTTTCTTAGGATCAGTCCCAACAGTAATTCCACCCACCCTGGCCTCACCTCAGCTACTTTGTTGACCTGGGATCAGGGACCACTTTTGAAGCCCTTAGCATGTGGGTGGAGGTGGGAGCAGAGGCTGAAGCTCCAGCAGTTTCCACCAAAGAACACCACCTTGTCTTTCTATGGTCTGACTAGGGCTCACCATCCATCTTGGAGCTGAACACCAAATGGGAGCTGATAGATTGTCCTTGGTGGGCCATGTTCTTGTGTGTGATGGAGCTGTGTGCCAGAGAGGGCCAGGAGAAGATGCACCACGCATGGCCAGGACCGGGCTAAACAGTCTGTAATGGTAGGTGAGTCAAACCTTGGCCACATATAGATACCTTAGGCATCCGTGGGGACTGAATCTGGGCCCTTCACTGCCAAGAGCACAACTCACTCCGGTTTGAGTCATTACGGTAGTGACCCCTACCAGCCCCTCTGAGGGGGTCAGTATTATCTCTGTTAGCTGGCGCACAGGGATGGAAAGCAACTGTCTGCAAGGTCACACACAACATCACTGCCAGAGGCAGGAAGGAAGCATGGTACTGATACCAGTCCAGCTCCAACCACTAGACTCCACCCGCCTCTAAAGCCAGAGAACCCCAGGAGCCCTGACTCTGACAGCTAGGCCTTAAATGACAAGACCAACCTCCCTCCCACTCAGGAAGCCATAGAAAGGGACCATCTGCTGAGCTCCCTTTTGCAATGACAGTGTCAGAGACCATTGCTAGTAGGTGCCAAGTGACTGAGCAGGGAACTCCTTGAGAGACTCCTAGAGACTTGCAGGTGATTCACTGTGACCCTCTGGGGTCTGTGGAAAGAGAGCTGCATTGAAGAGACTCTCCTGCTCTAACAAAGGGTTTCTATGCTCCTAGAGAGTCAGCCAGTGAGGCCAGTTTTCAGAATGTGGAAGAGCTGTTTGGCGATGGGCTGGAGGATTCACCATGTAGGTGGCAGCAGCTGCAGTGCCTGGGGTCCCCATGGGCCAAGCCTCCACTCCTGACACACTAAGCTAATTTCCCACTGCTCTCAGTGGGGCTTTGGCTTTAGCTGCTGGGCCTGCGTGCCTAGACAGAGGACTCAGGTATTTCCATCATGCTGCTCAATGGCAAATACAGCCATCCACAGATGTGAAGAAGAATGGAAGTGAAAGAGTAAAGCTGGAGCATCCGCTGAGCTGCTGCACTCAAGTGAGCAGAGCTGGGGAGAGAAGAGGGAGAATGCGAAGGTGGCTGGTGGCAGTAAGGAGGAAAAACAGTTTGGGAGCCAGGAGCGTAGAAATAAATAGTTAATGATGAATACTGCGGGCTTTGTCTTGTGTGGTGAAGGGTTGAAAATGGGTCTCTTTACTATCACACTCAACTTTAAAATAGCCTTGTACGATGAAAGGGCAGGTCTATAAAGGTAAGAAGTCACTCTAGGAGCTCGACATCCCAGTTTCTGTCACTATTGCATGCTTCTATCAACATGATCTCAAGCCAACAAATCCCTGAGGTGGTAGCAGTAGTGAGCTCTTCTTCTCTTTTTCTGGACTAGCCACCAGAAAAAGGACACAATACATGTGGCCAAGGAAATAGAGAGGCATGGGGGTCAGTCGCAGTGTTGCCCGTTAATATGGCTCTTGTCAGGGAGCATGGCAGGTTACTTTGGACTAGGTAGGAGCCACATGTCTCCAAACCTGCACATCCCGAGGCTCCAGAGACCTCTCTTCAGATCCCAGAGCTTATGTTATGTGTCCTCTCCTGCCACACTCACCTGTTGGTGACTAATGCAGTCACAGAGTTCAGGCTCAGTGTCATGCATTCCTCTGGGCTGCAACAAGCAGGAGGACTTGAACTGCAATGGATCCTCCTGTGCATGGGCTGAGTGGGCAACCTCCCTAATGCCATATCTGGTTTCCAGCCCATATACACTAAGGAGGAGGTGATGGACTTACCCCAAAGGTGGGTGTGGGAAGAAGCAGAGTGAAGCGGTGATCAGAAAGCCATCCCATAGCATTCCACCTAGAGTCATTCCAACAACCACCTGGCTCCTTCCTGCTGTAGGCCGCAGCCCCTAGGGAATTTTTGAATGAACCCTCTAGAAAGCTGCCTCTGGCTCTCTACAAGCTCTCACGCAGCCCTATCATGAGAGATAAGGAATAAGGTCCTGCCTCCCACAACTGCTCAGGGGAATCTTCTCAGAGAAATCACCACAGGGCGTTATGCATCTCTACAAACAGATCACTTTGCATTGTGTAGTCAAGAAGCTGCACCACTCTTTTTAGAGAAACATTAACACCCACAGGGATTTCTGCTCTAAATACTCTGGGCCTGAGGGAAGGATTCTGTGGGAAAAGAGGCCGTTCCCTTGCTCCAATCCAGGCTCTGCTGTTCTGATGCTGCAGAGCAGATAGGGAAGGCTTGAGGATTCCTGGAGAGCATGCTGCAACGCCAGCAATGCCATTCTGCCTCAGCCCTAGGGACACGTTCTCTTTCTCCCCCGGCAGCCTCCAATGGAGGGAAGAAAGGAACACGTAAGATGGAGTCTCTCCCTGGCTTATAGATAACCCAACCTGCAGTAACCCAAGTGTGGACTCAGAGGAATGCTGTGGTGCAGTGTATGTGTCCTGCAAGACATCTCTCGTGAAGGGAAGCAACACTGCTCTTGGCACTGGAACCTGGGCAATAAGGAAGAGGAGCTGGAAATTCTCCCTGGGGTGGGGAAATGGGGAAACCCGGTGGGACGATGTGTATGACTGGAATGTTAATGTCACTGGTTACAACCCATTGAGGTAGGGGAGAGAGGATAAAAGTGGTGGGCAGGGTGGCACTTTACATTAGACCAGCGGTTCTCAAACTGTGGGTCAGGACCCCAAAGTGGGTTGCAACCCCATTTTAATGGGGTCACCAGGGCTGGCATAAATTTTCTGGGGTCTGGGGCCAAAGCTGAAGCCCAAGCTCCACTGCCTGAGGTTGAATCCAAAGCCTGAGAGCTTCAGCCCTGGACAGTCAGGCTCAGGTTGCAGGCCCCACGTCTGGGGCTGAAGCCCTTGGGCTTCGATTTTGGCCTCCCCACGCAGGGTGATGGGGCTCGGGCTTTGGCCTTCCCCCCACACCTGGAGCGGTGGGGCTCGGGCTTTGGCTTTCTCCCCACACCTGGAGCGGTGGGGCTCGGGCTTTGGCTTTCCCCCCACACTTGGAGCGGTGGGGCTCGGGCTTTGGCTTTCCCCCCACACCTGGAGCGGTGGGGCTCGGGCTTTGGCCTTCCCCCCACACCTGGAGCGGTGGGGCTCGGGAGGGCTCAGGCGTCAGTCTCCCCTCCTGGCGTCGTTTAGTAATTTTTGTTGTCAGAAGGGAGTTGGAGTGCAGTGAAGTTTGAGAATCCCCACGTTAGACACATCATTACCTGTTTTATGTTCTTGGTTATTGAGAACCCCAGGACCTCGAATGGATAGGGATCAATCGGCTAATTCACACAGCCCAGCAGGTGAACCGGTGGGGGGCTGGCACAGTTCACTGAATCCAAACCAGAGAGCAGGAAACGTTTCTCCTTTTGCACCTGTCTGTGACTTGTGGGAAGAAATTAGGTTAGCACGGGGGACTTCCTACTGGGAGACAGACGGGGAGGTCTCCCGTAGCCAGGAGTAAATCATCCTTGGAGATTTTGAAAAATTATAAATACTTTTCTAATGCAAAGTACCCAACTAGGGGTGACTCTATTGTGGGCCTCCTTGTGGTGGATAAACATGAACTGATCACTGGACTGGATGTTCGTGGTTGCTCTGGGGCACTGATCATGACTTGACTGTATTCAGTAAGGATCAGTAAGGAGGTTTTGGAGCAAATTGATAAATTAGACAGCAATAAGTCACCAGAACCAGATGGTATTCACCCAAGAGTTCTGAAGAAACTCAAATGTGAAATTGCAGTACTACTAACTAACTGTGGTATGTAACCTGTCCTTTAAATCAGCTTCCATACCAGATGTCTGGAGTATAGCTAATATGACACCAATGTTTTTAAAAGGCTCCAGAGATGCTCCCGGCAATTACAGGCCACTAAGGCTAACTTCAGTACCAGGCAAATTGGGTGAAATCAGAGTAAAGAGCAGAATTATTAGACACATAGATAAACACTATTTGTAAAGGGAAATCATGCCTCACAAATCTACTAGAATTATTTCAGGGAGTCAACAAGCAAGTGGATAAAGGTGATCCAGTGCATATAGTGTACTTAGATTTTCAGAAAGCCTTTGCCAAGGTCCCTCACCAAAAGCTCTGAAGCAAAATGGGATAAGATGGAAGGTCCTCTCTGGGATAGGTAACTGGTTAAAAGGCAAGAAAGAAATGGTCAGTTTGCAGAATGGAGAGAGGTAAATAGTGGTGTCTCCCAGGGGTCTGTACTGGGACCAGTACTATTCATCATACTCCTATGTGATCTGGAAAAAGGGGTAAACAGTGAGGTGGCAACATTTGCAGATGATACAAACCAACTCAAGTTACAGAGTGGTAGCCGTGTTAAGCTGTATCAGCCAAAAAAATGTGGAGTCCTTGTGGCACCTTAGAGACTAACGAATTTATTTGGGCATAAGCTTTCATGAGCTAAAACCACATCCGCTGAAGTGGGTTTCAGCCCATGAAAGCTTATGCCCAAATAAATGTGTTAATCTCTAAGGTGCCACAAGTAAACCAACTCAAGTTAGTTAATGCCAAAAGAGACTGCAAAGTGTGGCAAAGGGATCTCGCCAAACTAGGTGACGGGGCAACAAAATGGCAGATGAAATTCAATGTTGATAAATGCAAAGTAATGCACATTGAGAAACATGATCCCAACTCTACATCTAAAATGATGGGGTCTAAATTAGCCCTTACAACTTAAGAAAGAGATCTTGGAGTCATTGTGGATAGTTCTCTGAAAACATCCACTCAATGTGCATCGGCAGTCAAAAAAGCGAACAAAATGTTGGGAAATCATTAGGAAAGGGAAAGGGATTGTTTAGAATTAGAAATCTGTGTGCCTCCCGCCCATGTTTCTTTGAAATAAAGGATAGAAAGAATATAATCTTAAACAGAAAGCAGATTTATTAAGGGATAGATACAACTGGGGGAAGATTCACTATGGGGAACACTACAAATACCCATGAATAGATTCCAGCAAGGGGGCATAAAGCCCAGGCCCTTAAACTGTCTCTTGGCTAAACTAATAAATATCCAACAAATAATTACTGTCTCTCTTCTAGCTTCAGGTGGAGGACACTGGCAACGGATGGTCCATCTCAGGATCTCTGGAACATCGGAGGATCTGGCTCTCTACTGCCCAAGCAGGAGATCAACAGATCTGAGCGGATAGCACAGCCTTCACTGGATCCTTTGGTGGATTACAGGAGTCAGGTAAGTATCAGAGTCCTTGACAGATGTTAGTAAGCGAAGTCTTGATCTAATGCCACACAAAGAACCTGGACGTGGCTGCTTTGTTGGTGGACAGCGCCTGCATCACCACTAACAGTCCCTTATACGCTGTCTGAGGCGCGCATTCCTGAGGCACACTCTGACAGGCACCGCTCCCAACCGGTTCCCATCAGTTCTCTGTCCCTCAGGTTCCGTGAGGAAAACAGAGTTTTGGCGGGAAAATGCCATGAAGAAAGGGTACCATAACGGCGTTCAAACCCTTCCTATCATATGTGCCATCTTGAATTTCTAAAGTCCATTTTGAATTGCAGCAACATTCCTAACAGAATATGACCATGTACCAAAATCACCTTACAGGATAGGTAAGAAGACAGAAATGTAATATTGCCTCTCAATAAATCCATGGTATGCCTCATCTTGAATACTGGAGCGGGTCTGAAAAAGATATCCTGGAATTGGAAAAGGTACAGAAAAGGGCAACCAAAATTTTTAGGGATATGGAACAGCTTCCATATGAGATTAAATTAATAAGACTGGGTGGAGATTTCAGCTTGGAAAAGAGGTGACTAAGGGGGGATATGATAGCGGTCTATAAAATGGTGACTGGTATGGAGAAAGTAAATAAGGAAGTGTTATTTACTCCATCTCATAACACAAGAACTAGGGGTCACTAAATGAAATGAATAGGCAGCAGGTTTAACACAAAAAAAGGGAGTATTTCATCACAGAACACACAGTCAACCTGGGGAAACTCTTTGCTAGAGGATGTTGTGAAGGCCAAGACTATAAC